CCTTGTTAGTGCGGCAGGGTGCCGTCCGAGCAGAAGTGAAGAAATTGAATGAAGCGCGGGTAAACGGTGGGAGTAACTATGACTCTCTGCATGCCTTGAGTTCACCACTCCAGGTGGTTTGGTGTTCCAAGTGACCAGTGATCAGTTGAAAAGATTCAGGTTCGTTGGGATTACTCAACTGCCACTGTCAGCGTGAGGTGACTTTGGTAATATCCTCTCCCTGAGCAGACCGTCATTCAGCCTCCTCGTGGCTCTTCTGGAAACTGCTGCTTCGGCAGCTGGCTAACTGTCTGATAGATTCAAGAGAAGGTAACTCTGACAAAAATCCGGGAGACAGGTAAACTCCCTAATAAACTCACCATCTCTAGGCGATCCCAGAACTGTTGAGGTGTGCTTGCCTCAGACGTCCCGCTGCCTACCCTATTGCAGGGGGATCCCAGCAGTAGATCCGCAAGGGACACTGAAAAATTGGCAAGGGTTGGGTAAGTATCGGTGAGTTTCCGGCCGGTGCTTGCATACCTACATACTACTTTGTGCACTCGCACTCATTTGGATGAATGAGAGCAGTTGCAGATGCTCCCAAAAGTAGTGTGCCGATGGCAGAGGAAGGTCGCAGTGGCTCCTCGGGAGCTAGGTGCCCCGAGTGCTCTCTTGTCTTTTGGAGCACCCGTGGTCTGGGTGTCCACAGGAGAGTGGCGCACCCAGATGAGTTCCACCTACCTATCTAAACTGCCCCAGTGTATTAAAGCCATGTGGGACAGTGAAGAAGACCCTTTAATGGCTCTGAACAAAGCCCGTCTGGTGGCCTCCGGTGCTAGATTTATTAATCAAGAACTCGCAAAATTGCTTCCACATAGGACTGTGGAAGCTATTAAAGCTAGGCGCCGTAGAGCAGATTATATCACGCTGCTATCCCAGTCAAGGTGAGTCCCAATGGTGACATAAATGCTACTGAGATGCACCATCAAGGAATCATAGATTATATTATGTCTTTAACCCCGGGCAATGGTGACCCTGTAGAGGAAACTATTAATCAAATAATAAAAGGTACTAGGCTTTATCCCGATTCCATCACTATTGTCATTGTTGAATCCCACAACGGGGTCGTCAGCTTGGTGAAGCTACGACCCTAACTCTGTACCAGACTGAACTGACTGGTCCTGATTTAGATGAATAAATGTACTCTTAGTGATTGAACTGTGTGACTGTGTTTATTGCTGAATGAACTAACATCCAATTGCAGAAGTATACAAAGAAGGTAAAAACGGAACATTACCTAACAACTATCCCTAACCCTAATAAATAAACACGCAGAACAACTAATCAGGTTGGCCGGACCAGGCATGTCGAAGGTAGGGGACAGGAGGCCCACCAGTAACAAACCAATTAAATGTAACAAAAGGCCTAGCAGGGAGAAAAGGGCTGCTAGGCGGAAAGCCTATGCACGAATACAAAATATCTACAGGAAAAACCGTAGGAAATTAGCCCAAATCTGCCTGGACGGGACATGGTCCGAGGAAGCATCCTCGTCCCTTCCCACTGATACCTATAGTTATTGGGCCAATATTTTAATAAACGTTCTCATTCTGACAACAGGCCCATGGATCCCAAACCCACTATCTGGGAGCTTGTGCTCCCGATTAGAGAGGAGGAGGTCCGCGCCTGCATCAGTGGTATATCAGTTTCCTCTCCCGAATCTCTGCGGTCCCGTTACCTGAGCAAAATGTTCAATTTATGGTTAAATTACTCCTACCTTCCCTTGCCCTTCAGGGCTAATCATTCCACCTTAATCCCCAAAGATAAATCCCCAACTGAAGCAGGACAATTCCATCCCATAACTCTATCATCCACTATTACAAGATTATTCCTTAGAATTATTGTAAAACGATGCTCACAGAGCATATCATTTAGTTCCGCACAAAGAGCGTTCTGCTCGGGTGAAAACACAATTACCCTCGACGCTATTTTCCAGTATAGTACTTCTTGTTTGTCGCCTCTCTGTGTCGCCTCACTGGATGCCCACAAAGCCTTCGACTCCTCATCCTCATGTTCACGTACAAGGCCATTCACGGCCTCGCTCCCTCCTACCTCTCCAACCTACTATCCCCCTACCTACCTGCCCGTACCCTCCGTTCCTCTGGCTCCGGTCTGTTCCACGTCCCCCGCCCCAATCGCCCTACCATCGGTGGTCGGGCTTTCAGCCTCTCAGCCCCCAGGCTCTGGAACTCTATCCCCAGTGCCTTCGCCGCTTCCTCCCTTTCCTCCTTCAAGGCCGATCTCAAAACCTTTCTCTTTGATCGAGCCTTCAGCTCCCCTCTCGACTCTCTTCCCCCTCCTCGCTCCCTCCCTTCCCTCCCCTCACCCTGACCATTTCCCTCTCTTCGTTCCCTCCCTTCCCTCCCCTCACCCTGACCATTTCCCCCCTCCTCGCTCCCTCCCTTCCCTCCCCTCACCCTGACCATTTCCCCCCTGCTCGGGTCATGACCCAACTGTGCAGCGCCTTGGGGCGTCCTCCTGACGTGAAAGGCGCTTTATAAATGGAATCTTGTTGTTGTTGTTGTTGTTGTTGTTGACTCCGTAAACCACGGCTCGATTTTTCGTGCCATGGAATTACGGGGTATCCCAAAGATTCTCAGCAATTACATAGGATCAACCTATGTTAATTGCTTCACTACAATCAAAGGCTGCCCAGGTGAACCGATCCCAATGACGAGGGGGGTGAGGCAGGGGGATGCAATCCCCCGTTTCTCTTTAACCTCGTCCTGGATGAGATTCTTGACACCATACCATCCGGGATCGGAGCTCATCTGGGCAGTCAAATGAAAATACCGACTCTAGTGTTTGCGGACGACATTCTGTTGTTCGCATCCACATCTTTAGGGCCGCAGACCCTCCTGAATCACGTTACGAACAATCTGGATAACATAGGGCTATCAATCAACCCTACTAAGTCAAATTCACTATCTATTGTCATCGACGGGAAACACAAACGTTATCTCGTCAATGCAGCACAAAAATTTATAGTTAAAACCAGCCACTTAATACATTAACTGCAATAAACCATTTTAAATATCTCGGAATTAATTTCCATCATCAGGGGAGGGGTGAGTCCGTTGGGTTGATTCTGGATCGAGGTATCCAGAACCTCTCACGGGTCCCCCTAAAACCACAACGTATACATATTTTTAACAATCATTTAATTCCCAAATTGCAATATCTTTTAGTCTTGGGGCGTTGGACCATCAAACGCCTCAAGACCATGGATCTGCAAACTCGAGCGGCTGTCCGTAGGTGGTTATAACTGTCTGGGGACACGCCCAGGAGTTATTTTCATGCTGCTGTACAGGATGGGGGTCTGGGCATTCCATGCCTCAGAACTTCCATTCCTGTACTCACAACCAATCGGTTGAACCGTTTACTGCAATCCAGTTTGGCGATAGTCAGAGAGACGATAAACTCTGCCTCCTTCCGGAAGCGAGTTCTGGACGGAACACGTGCAGGGAATTTCACTGGCGAAACTTTCCGTTGCACTAAGACGGGGCGTAATATCTGGGCCCGGTTACTGCACGAACAGTCGGTGGACGGGAAGGGGCTCAGCAGTAACAACTTAGTCCCTGAATACCAAAATTGTGTGTCTGGGGGCTCTGGAGTCCTGACCGGTCGCTCTTACATCGACTGTGTGCAGGTCCATGGCAACCTGCTCCCCACGGCAAGTCGCCGTGCAAGGGGCAGGAATCAAGCTGATCCCTGGTGCGACGGAGGATGTAGCTCACAGGCCAGAACAGCCCACGGCACCTTTAAACCATGCATATGATCCGAGGACGCCAAAAAATGCTGACCCATACGATGGCTCCGTGCGAATTTTCGAAACAAGTCCACACCCCCGAGTTCTCCTTCGAATCCACCTATGCAATTGAATGAAGGAGCAATGGGGAATTTCCCAATGATACAAGTAGCAGATGGGCCCGGAGACATCCAGTATGTATACAGGGCGTGGGGAATGGAGGATGTTAAGAGGGCAATGGTTGCCTGTCCCCATCCCAATCAAGGGGGAAATGAGTTTCGAGACTTTATGTATCAAACCATGACAAGTTATAGGCTGAATAGTCTAGAAACGGAACAATGTATAAGAGAGGTGTTGCGTCAGGAATGGTGTCAGGTAGGAGGGGACTGGACGGCATTGAATGAAGTAGGCGAACCTAGATTGTATGACCGACCACCAGCCCCGGCAAACCGTCCCCAACATGGGTTTTGGGGACCCTTGGATCAGTTACTGGGAAGAATAGTCGCATTTTATAGAGCCAGATGTAACTACTCAGCAATAACAGATTGTATTCAGGGAAAAGATGAAACATGTATGCAATACTATACGCGGTTGCATAAGGTATTTAACTCTAATAGTGGAATTGAACCACCACAGCCACATGATGATACTGGGGTATGGGCACAACAAATCAAGAATGCATTCCAGCAGGAATGGTGCCCCATATTTCAAAATTGGTAAAACAACACTTGATAACATGGAGTACAGGGGCACTCCAGCCAGTATTAGATCATGCCATCCATTTCGAACGAATAACAAGGGAAGAGAAGAGGAATAATAGGCATAATGAGGGATTTATATCACAAGAAGTTAATAAACAACCATGGCAGAATAGAAAGAGGAAGCAAAAGAACAATAATGGGGGAGAATGTTATGTTTGTGGGAAAATGGGACACTGGGCAAGGGATTGTCCAAACCGGTGGAAGTCCCAAAAGCCCGAAGAAGAATGAGAGGAGGAGAGAGAGGAGACTGAACGTATATTAGCGTTAATACAGTCTCCTGGGAGTGCTTGGTTGACATTAAGAGTGAATGGAATTGACATACCGTTTTTATGCGATTCAGGAGCATGTAGAACGGTTATTACGATGAGAGACGCAACTTTTCCTTATAAAAAGAGTCAGGAAAAAATTGATATTCGGTCAGCGTCCGGAGACTTAGAAACACAATGCGTCACGGAACCTCTTGAATTCTGTTACAAGAATAAAGAGACTGTAGAAGCACAAGTGGTTATATCAATGACATGCCCGGTTAATTTACTAGGGAGAGATGTGTTAACTAAACTCAAGTTAGGAGTGATACCTATGGGTGACGACCGATGGGAAGCAGTTAAGGTTACGTACAAAAAAAAATTGAAGATACCCTAATTATCCAAGAAAGGGGGGAACCACAATACTATTATGCCCTACAGTTAAAGGAAGGGCCAGGACAATTCCAACAGGAACTGCTTAGATTGGCACACCAGCGGGTCATGGAACAAAGTGACTTCCACCTGCCTGAGGATCTGCACTGTACCATGTGGTACCGTGAAAAAGGGGGAAGTTCGTTGCCATATGAGAGACATTTCAAATTGGGAAGTTCCACACGATTAACGATTCAATGTATATATTGGAATGCAACTGATATGGGAGGGAAAGTTTTACTCCAACCGTTAGATGATCAGCTATACCAGGGAGAAGGGAACCCCCATGTATCAATTGCAAAGAGATGCAAAAAGTCATGGCAACAAGTGGGTAACCTGGTAGATTGTGGGATAAAAGCACAGGATTGGGAAGAGACTCAGGATGCAGGGATATGGTATTCCCCGAGGACAGGTCTCTACTCACAATGTTTGAATTGGGTGTATCAATGTGAAAGAGTTAGGAAGATGCACTCAGGGAAGATGGTTCCCTGACTGTTAGGAGTGGAAATAGAACAGGAGGCGGAGTTGAATGCTCTGCCTGATGCTCTATGGTCCAAAGGATCAGCTGACGTAGGACTAATAAAAGGGATTGAACCTATTAAAATCATACCAAAAGGAACACACCGCCCATACCAACGGCAGTATCCTATGAAACCAGAGGCCATTGAAGGAATTGAACCCATAATTAAGGAACTTAAGGAGAAGGGCATCATAGTGGATTGCCCTGACTCTCCATGTAACACCCCCCTGTTCCCAGTAAAAAAGGTAGCGCCATCACAAGGGTGGCGATTGGTTCAGGATTTACAGGCTGTAAATAAGGCAGTGATTCCCCGGACCCCAGTTGTACCCGACCCCAATACCTTGCTGAACAATTTGCGACCTGATACAGCTTGGTTTACAGTAATTGATTTAGCAAATGCGTTTTTTTCTATTCCGGTTGACAAGGCCTCCCAATTTTGGTTTGCCTTCACATTTTTGGGAAGGAAATATACGTACACCAGATGTCCACAGGGATTTGTTGAATCCCCGGCCATATTCTCACAATGTATGGAAAGTAATCTGGCAAAATTTGAGCCCCCGGGTGGCAGTCAAGTTTTGTTGTATGTAGATGACATACTTATATGTTCCCCATCCAACGAAATTTGCCGCCAAGATTCTCTGGCCTGCTTAAAATTTTGGGAGAATGGGGACATAAAGTGAGCCAAAAAAAGTTGCAATATTGTTTACCCGAGGTCAAATATCTGGGCCATGCAATTTCTAGGGAAGGAAAATCCTTATTAAAAGACAGAAAGCTTGCAATAATGCAAGCTCCGCGACCCGAAACTAAACAACAGATGATGTCATTTTTGTGAATGACTAACTTCTGCCGTGCATGGATCTCTTCATATGCGGAGCTAACTCAGCCCTTGTTAGGGCTGATTTATGATGCCCCTATGAAGGCACAGGATGCAATTGAATGGAATCCAGAGGCTATAAAGGCATTTGAAATTATAAAAACCATTTTATCTAGGGCAGAAACTTGGCGCATCCTGACCCTGTAAAGCCATACACTCAAACTGTTGCGTTAAAAATGGTTTATGGCATCTGTCCTCTTACAACCATTTGGAACGCGAATGCGACCCGTGGCTTATTACTCACACCGACTGGATCCGGTGGCTCGAGGCCTTCCTTGCTGCTTACAAGCAGTAGAAGCAGCAGCTCTGGCTGTTCGCGCATCATTGCCCCTGGTCCTGTACCAACCATTGAAGTTGTTGGTTCCACATGCAGTTTCGGTATTATTGCTCAAACTAAACATGCCTTCCTATCGCCAGCACGCCAGCTATCCTGTATGGCCACATTGCTGACCTGCCCAAATTTAACCATTGAACGATGCACGTGTTGAATCCGGCAACCTTGCTGCCAGTACCTCCGAGGGTAGCCCTCACGACTGTTTAGAAAAGACCTCACAGTCAGTAGCGGCGCGAGTAGATTTGGCGGACACAAGGTTTGAGAATGCAGATGTGACATACTTTGTGGACGGTTCATGCAAAAAGGACATGGTGGGCCGTTCCCAAAGTAGTACGCTGTATGCACTCAGGACACGGTAGTAGAAGCAGCCAGACTCCCAACAGGATATTCGGCACAAATGGCTGAACTTGTGGCGCTTACCGAGCTTGTGTACTGGGGAAGGGAAAAATTAATAACATCTATACAGACTCACAATATGCCCATTCTACTTGCCACATATTTGCTGGACAGTGGCGAAACCGGGGTATGGTTACCTCCACAGGTAAACCAATTTCCCATGCTGATTTAATATTGAACCTAATTGATGCATTACAACTCCCAAAACAATTAGCGATACTTAAGTGTGTTGCCCACACTCTGCGAAGACCTGGTGTCAAGGGGAAATGCCTTTGCAGATAAAACTGCCCAGGCAGTGCCCCTGCAGAAGTATTAGTGTCACAAACACCACCCTCGATTGACATGACATTGATTAAAACGTGCAATCAGAGGCAGGCACCCTTGAGAAGCGAGGATGGAAAAACATGGGATGCAAACTAAACACATTCGGCATATGGGTTGGAAACACTGGACTGCCAGTTTACCACGATCATTGTTTCCCATTGCAGCAGGATTGAGCCATGGCAAATGCCATGTCTCAAAAGGAGGGATGAGGACAATGATAGACCAACAATATACGACATTCGGACTAACCACTTATTTACAAAAATTTTGTCAACAATGTATAACATGTTTACGCAATAACCCACAAGGACAACTAAAATGTAAACAAGGCAAGATTCCATTGGCAAAAGAACCCTTCTCTCATTGGATGATGGATTTCATCCATCTGAACGTATGCGAAGGAAAAAAATATTGCCTAGTAATGGTATGTCCTTTCTCGGGTTGGGTAGAAGCTTTCCCCACCACCCATGTGGATGCAGTAACAGTGGCAAAGATATTATGCAGAGAAATAATACCAAGATGGGGTATCCCGCGAATATTATACAGTGATAATGGGCCGGAATTTAAGAATGAGGTCCTAAGAAATGTGGGGATCCACTTGGGGATAACCTTAAAGAACCACTGTGCCTACCATCCAGAGTCTGCAGGAATGGTAGAAAGACATAACGGGACACTTAAAAATAAGCTGAAGAAAGCCATGGAAACCACAGGGAAGGGTTGGGTGGCATGTCTACCGTTAGCACTGACAAGTATGAGAATTACACCTGGGAGCAAGAAACTCCCCGTATGAAATTGTTATGGGTAGAGCATATTACATGCTTGGAGAACGTACAGAATTGGAGGAGGCCGGACTTGCAGGATACATGAAAAAAATGTTTCAGAATAAAATGACTATGAGAAATGTATTACCTCCCCAGGAACTGAATGAGAACACCGAGCCATGCCCACTGCAGCCAGGAGATTGGACACTGATTAAGGACATCAAAAGGAAGCATTGGCATCAACCAAAGTGGACAGGACCATATCAGGTGCTACTAACCACACCAACGGCAGTACGGATTGCGGAACGAAACACCTGGGTCCACGATAGCCACTGCAAGAAGACACCACCGCCGTAAGAAGCAACTAGCAAGATGGCATGGCTACGGACTCTCAGTCTTGGACTATGGTTTGGACTGGTAACAAGTCTGGGGAGGAATACATATCTCTTGGCTGCACATAAGCAGCAAAGGCGTCAAGTGTGACAAGGTGTTGGGTATGTATTCAAATACCCCATAGTTCTCAGACTGGTTTTCCCCTTAATGTGATACCATTGACAAAGGTTGAAAACTGTTCTAGGACTCCAAGCGGTGGGGGCGTTTGATGTGAGTATGGTGACATGTGAAGGACAGGAGAATATAATAATAATAATAATAATCCTTGCATTTGATATATCGCTTTTCACGTCGGGAGGACGTCCCAAAGCGCTTCACAGAACACACTGTAAAGTGAATTGACTGTATATTTGTGGGCGAACGCGGCAGCCAATTGCGCACAGCAATGTCCCACAAACAGTCGTAGATTGAAAATGACCAATTATTATTGGTTTTGGTTTTGGAGAGATTATTATTAGGCTCTGTGTGGAGTAAGGAAACTTGCCCGAGGTTTCGCCCTCTGCCTGGAATTGAACTCAGGTCTCTCACTTGCAAAGCGAGTGCTCTAACTACTGAGCTACAGGACTCCACAAATTAATGGATATATATAAGGAAATTCGATTGGAAGAAAGAAGCGCCATGTTTACCGTCCCTAAAACACCGGGGTAACATCTGTTTAGTAGAGGGATACAGTTATAATAGTCAAGGCACTGTTGTTGGACCAGTGCCTGCACTGAGCGTGTATCATTCGGATATGTGGCGACACAGGAAAGATTGCAAGTATCTCACTGAATGTACTAACTGCACGAGCAATGGTTCTTTCTCCGGATAAAGCTGAGGTACAGCTATCAGGGAAAGTGGTAGAGGCACCGAATAACACCTACCTTATATGTGGTCAAGAGCGTACCCCTGGCTCCCACTTGACTGGACTGGTTCATGTTACTTGGGATATGTGGTCCCATACTTTCACCTTACCCAATTAACTGACCACCCTGCCCTGCAGCATAGACACGGAGAGCACTGATATAGTATGAACAAATGTTTGGGATGTTTGTTCCTCCATATGGACTCTTCCGCACAAATCTAGAATTAGCAACATTACAAACAATTTTAGAAAGTGTGGCAAATGAGACAGCAGATGCATTGACAGAATTATCAGCTGAAATGGTTGCCATTCGCACAGTAGCCTTACAAAACCGAATGGCCTTGGACATTTTGCTAGCAGAGAAAGGAGGTACTTGTGCCTTGATTGGCTCTGAATGTTGTACCTATATACCAGACAGTTCTGAGAATATCACAAATATTGTCCAGCACATGCGAGATCAGGTAAAAAGCTTACAGGAACCAAGTGGAATATCTATGATATGGAGGATTATTAATCTGACCCGTGAAAGCAAAGTACAATTGATCCCATCTATGACGATGCATCTTTAAATTGTCACAAGGCAACAAGAGGCATCCGAGAAAATAAATTGGGACTGTACCGGCACATGGCAATGTTAATAAGATTATAAAAGAGGGAATGATAGATAAAAAGGCAGAAAGTTATAACCTTTAGTAAACCCTGCATGAGAAGCTTAGCAGGCTGTGTCATCTGATCTTAGAAACGTGCAGCTCAACTGCATGGAACCAATTACGACTGGTTCCATGAAGGAGGTAAACCGAATCAACAGATGTATGTGCAGACTAACCGCAGCCTTGGAGTATGAGACAATGCCCAATACACATCCTATGTACGTGAGGCTAAGCTCGACCACATTGTGACCTATGGCCAAATCTAACGATTGGAGGCGAAGACTCCCCATACTTGTGATTCTAAGTATAAATGTCATTGTTGAATCCACAACGGGGTCGTCAGCTTGGTGAAGCTACGACCCTAACTCTGTACCAGACTGAAACTGACTGGTCCTGATTTAGATGAATAAATGTACTCTTAGTGATTGAACTGTGTGACTGTGTTTATTGCTGAATGAACTAACATCCAATTGCAGAAGTATACAAAGAAGGTAAAAACGGAAAATTACCTAACAACTATCCCTAACCCTAATAAATAAACACGCAGAACAACTAATCAGGTTGCCGGACCAGGCATGTCGAAGGTAGGGACAGGAGGCCCACCAGTAACAAACCAATTAATGTAACAAAAGGCCTAGCAGGGAGAAAAGGGCTGCTAGGCGGAAGGCCTATGCACGAATACAAAATATCTACAGGAAAAACCGTAGGAAATTAGCCCAAATCTGCCTGGACGGACATGGTCCGAGGAAGCATCCTCGTCCCTTCCCACTGATACCTATAGTTATTGGGCCAATATTTTAAAAACGTTCTCATTCTGACAACAGGCCCATGGATCCCAAACCCACTATCTGGGAGCTTGTGCTCCCGATTAGAGAGGAGGAGGTCCGCGCCTGCATCAGTAGTATATCAGTTTCCTCTCCCGAATCTCTGCGGTCCCGTTACCTGAGCAAATGTTCAATTTATGGTTAAATTACTCCTACCTTCCCTTGACCTTCAGGGCTAATCATTCTACCTTAATCCCCAAAGATAAATCCCCAACTGAAGCAGGACAATTCCATCCCATAACTCTATCATCCACTATTTCAAGATTATTCCATAGAATTATTGTAAAACGATGCTCACAGAGCATATCATTAGTTCCGCACAAAGAGCGTTCTGCTCGGGTGAAAACACAATTACCCTCGACGCTATTTTCCAGTATAGTACTTCTTGTTTGTCGCCCTCTCTGTGTCGCCTCACTGGATGCCCACAAAGCCTTCGACTCCTCATCCTCATGTTCACGTACAAGGCCATTCACGCGGCGATTTAGTCGAACTATTACAAGACCTGATAGATTTTACGACCATGCGGGAGGCCGTGCGCATACTGC